CATAATGTCAAGCTGGCTGCTTAGGTACTAGTACAGTACAGTTCAAATACAGATTATTTCAGTTCATCGAAATGCTGCACCTTAATGTTTATTTTATTATATTTTGTATTTATTGGAGTGAATACATTATTGACAGTTTAATAATAATTTAAAAAAAAAAAAAAAATATTTTATGTTTTGTGATAATTTTTTCTGCTGTACCGAAAACGTACCGAACCGAACCGTGACCTAAAAACCGAGGTACGTACCGAACCGAAATGTTTGTGAACCGTTACACCCCTAGCATGTACCTATCTGGACATCGCGATAGTTCGTAGAATTAGCCTTATACAACCCACTGTGCCCTCCAAGGGATGCTAGCACTACTTAAAAGCATTTTCAAAGGCTTTGTTGGTGCCTTTCAAAATGAGTTTTTCACGAGGTGACACTGGTAAGGATAAGGGAAACATGCTTCAGTCCATTTTCCAAGCCATATAATTTATTTAGCAGACACTTTTATCCAAAGCCACCTGCAGTCAGTCCACCACAACAACACTCTACGGAAGCCTTTGTTCCGTATTGATTAAAGGAATACGTTCCAACCACCAGAAGACACAACAACACAAGCCTTTTTGTGTGTCGTGGTCAAGATGTTCATATCAAAGAGCTTCCAGAACAGCTCCACTAGGATTGTTAGCAATTGTTTTTGCCTGATAGACACTCATTATGGACCTCACTGGAAAGACAAACTAACTTTTTATATCATGATCATTTCACGCTCTACAAAATGAGATAGACGGATAGAGCCAAACACAAATCATATTCCACTTTTTTTTTTCTCCAGGCTCTCCTCTTCCTCCCAGTGAAACATAAAATAATACAGAGAACACACATGTGTATTGCAAAACAGGGATGCTCAGGAGGAGACAGATGGGACTCAGAGTTTTGGGAGTTCAGAAGATGCATCTCTGAAACAAAAACACATGGAGAGGGGATCACAGGGAGCAATGCCAGGCTAACACATGCAGACAGACAGGGAGAGGAAGAGGAGGAACATGCTCAGTATGTCTTCATACATCCACAGCATCCAATTCATTGTTCCCTTCACAAATAAGACATGGCATACTTCTATACGAAGTTTGAAAGTGTTTTAAGGTTTACACAATCAATCAGCAGCCTGCCCTCTGTACAAAACAGTCCACACATGTGCTACATTTCCAAACACATTTCAAAGAGTGACCACGCTATTCATCCTTTAGCACATATCTCAGCAGTAAGACGTGGGTGGGGGAGTGTGAGCTAACCAGATTTCCATTATAACACGTTGGCGATGTGTCTGGACAGTGAGTTATTCATGATACATAAAGGGATTGATGGGGATTTGCAGGGGAATTAATTTCTTTCCTGGACCTTAGTAAATATCTGAAAACACTCCCGACAAGAGTGGCAGCTATTCTTTGAGGACGGCCATGCACACCATCTAACACGGTCATACTTTGTAAAGAAGACACATTAGGCGTCAGGAATCGGGGTGATTCATTGGCTTTTGGTGGGCCAAGTGAACTAGGCAGCAGTGTTTGGATGTGTTCCTGGCCTGCAGGATGATGAATCCCTGAGTCTCTCTCTCTTGTCTCACAGCCATCAGACTGTGTATAATGTTTCCTTTCTCCGGTGCCAAGAACTAGTCTCCAATTGCGCCGAGTCCCACATTGTGCTCGACAGCAAAGCGCCCGCGTTACTCGGCGCGTCGAGGGGTCAAGAGGCTAAGTGGGCTTAATGTCTAAACAAGCATGGAGGACAGAGTAGCATCCAGTTGGAGAGGGGAAGCTAATATCCATCAAAAAATCATTTCTAGGCTAGGAAAGAGAAGTCAGGAGGCGATTCGAAACACATGGGAGGTATTTGAGGGAAGCCTGGGTGATGGAGCGTGAAAATGGGCTCCTATGTTTGGTTGGGAGGAAGAGACAGCAAGACTACATTGTGTGAGTCAAGCCCCATCACATCCAGCTGATGTTCTGCTGATGGATGTGAGCACCGGTGTGACGTGTACCCAAGGCTCATTTCGGAAGTTGGCAAAATCCAACGTTTCTTATTAGAAAAATCTAAAAGATAAGTCTTTGGAAAGTGTCTTTGCTCAGTCAAACACTTAGGGAAAAAAAAGTATGTTGTCATTTCAGATGCCAGATGTATGAAGTGGTGTTGAGTCATGCTTACCAGACTCTGATTCACTAACGTTTCTCAGCCTCTGATTAACAGCCTAGGCAAGCAATATTTCTAACATTAAAAGGATGGTTCAACCAGAAAGTGGTATCAATCATGCAGATGGTTTGGGTTTAATTTCAAGATGAATTGAAGTGCTCACAACAGGAAGAGACATTTATAAAGTCATCAGGAACCTTCCCAAGTGCTTCACATTCATCTGCTGGGTTTGAAATAAAGAGTCTACCTGATCAAAAGGCTCCGATGTCAAGGATAAAGAACGGCAGCTGCAATTAACTGCATCTCAAATCAAAGTGAGCCACCCTTTGTTCAACACCTGGACCCTCTCATTAAAGCAGATAAGGCAGATCCTTCAAGAGATAAGCTCCTTTCCTCAGGCCTAGGAACATCTTCATGCTTGCTTTAACACTTTGTGTTTGAATTAGTGTATTAAAACTCAACACAAGCCCCACTCAACTTCACTGATACTCTAGGGGAAATCAATTGATTGGACCAAGATATTGTCTCAGAAGAAAGCCCAAGAAAATGGGATTAAAAGGAAATCAGTGACAGATTTGTTTTCAGATGTAATGGGTAAAGTGATCCAGATTCTGGGGAGTCACAAGTTACATACTTAAGTTTTATTTCGGGCAAACTCCATCTGCTGATGAAGACTTTGGAATGCAGTTGAATGCTCTTGAGTTTCAATTATTTTAACTCAACATTTTCTTTACTTTTTCTGGTTTTTCTGAACTTTCGTCCCCAGTTCTTCTCTGTCTTTCTCAGACATATTGTTCTGGCTTTAATGATGTGGGGACAGTGCTTTAGTTTAGCGAGGCAAACACTAAGCTGAGTCTGGGTGGGGGGGGGGTTGGAGCACTCACAACGTGTGCTGATGAAAGGAAGACCAGCAAGCCTTGTCGACATGACCTGGGAGGGTTATTAGAGCGATATCAAAGGGCGCGCTAACAAGCACACCCTGTTGTTTGGCTGGGTGGGGCTTCACAGCAACAACAACAACCCTACAAACACCTCAGGACAGGCTCAGGTTATACCGAGCGTGTTCTAACTTTGTCTTGAGTGTCTATCTGAGGAATCAATTCTGTCACAAGAAGCGAAGCTAGTGGACACAAATGCAGGAAACAGGAAGTTTGAACAGAAAATGGTTCAGAAATTCACAAAGACAAAAGGTAAAAACAGATGGGACACAAGGGGAGAATACTCTTCAAAATAAGATCAACTGAAAGCATTAAGAATTAATCAACATAAGAAAACCTCAGGGACAGCAGCCCTAGAAGAGAAATGACCAACAGAACCTAAGCTAAGACTCATGGAGGAATTCAAATGGATTATTTTGGATTTATCACTTGGAAGCAATCTGAAAACTTAATCTCTCACATAAAGACCAGATATAAAAGATGTGCTACACAGCTGCCACCTGCTCCTGCTGGAACACAAGTGATGGGAGCAGAGATTGTGGGCCAACGAGCGAAACAATGATGATTTGCTGCAAATACTTTTGTACTTTTACCTTGGTTAGATTTTTTAATGCACTCTTTTAATTGTAACAGAGCATTGACTTCTTTTTAGACGCCATTAGGTTGGTTTATAACTTAAAAAGTAAAAAAAACAGTTGTAACTTTGATTTGTGTCAACCAGAGCAACTGCAAACATGGCTGATCGCCTCACTGCTTTTACCTGGCCAAGATGGCGGACACTTTTTGCCTTTTTATGAACACTTTCTGGGCAATCATATAGCATTTTGCCATACTTCCTTTTGGGACACACTTGTGCCCTCAAAAGAGTATATCGAAGTATATAAGTACGTGATTTGAGACACAGAGGAGTTTTTATTACCTTCTGATTTCAATGATTTCCTGTCAGAGAGGCCTTCTGGGAAGTATCCCCCTGCACATCAGGCTTTCATTAGCTGAATATCAGTGTGTCATCACTCACAGCCAGACACATGACTCACTGTTCCACTGTAAACACAGAAACCCTGCGTTCAACTCAGCACATTTACACCATTTTACCTCTGGTTTCAGAGGTAGACGGAGGAAATTAGAGCTCATGCAGTTTACCCTAATCCGTGTAAAGCGTTGGATGAAAATTGTGATTAGCTGTAAAGAGATACAGATGAAAACAGCAATGGATACAGTCACACCTCTGTTGGAAAACACATGGTCACAGTTGGGAAACGCCACGTCAGCGGTTTCCTGGTGAGGCGGTTAACCAGATAGAAACCACAGACACCTTCCTGCTGTCAGCGCAGTTATTACCCACAATTCTTAATATCAACCACCTCAGCCTCAACATAGGACAAAAAGAGGTGCTGGCAGACATTAATGCTGACTCGTCATTTACTTCACATGCATTCTGTGCCGAGTTGTCCTCAGGAATGAGTAATGAAGAGTGTATTTAGTCACAGCAGAGCGACAGAGAGTGTACACACCCCTTAACACGTTTTGGGATATTTATTGCGAAAGTTAACATTTTTGGGAAATATATTTAACCCCACATTTCTCCCGTTGGTCTATGGTTTTGAAATTTATGCAAGTCACGTCAGCTAAATGACATTTAATGTAATTAAATAATGAAGGATGAGGCACAGAAATCACATCATCACTTGTATTTTAATGGCAGCGAACAGAATCACATGACGTCTTCTCAATTAAGGCCAGTATTGTCCTGCTTCTGCACACTGCACTGATGAATACTGACTGTACTGTGTTTGCACCTGTCACCTCGCATAACTCGGTGTTTAAAGCATGACAACATTGATAATGATGATGCTGATAGAGAAGAGAAGGAGCGTGACAGCCATGGGAAAGTGTGCAGTTCATGTGTGGAACAGCTGTGCTAATGACTGAAGCTGCAGCGGGAAATAACAGAGCAGGAAAAACATGGCCGCTCATGTGACGTTCATAAAGTGAGCATTACGCGAGACATCATGCACCTTTTTACAAGTGCTGCGAAACTTCAAATAAAGTGTCTGACTCCCATACAGTAGAGGAAGTCTTAAAGCACATGAATGACTACTGGCCAGCTGACAGCACCAGTCCTGAGTCACATTAAATATGACTGCGTGGACATCATAAAAACATATAAAACATGTAAAAAAAGACCTGAAAATTCTCCTTTTTTAAAATATAAAGTAACAGTCTTTTGGTTTTAAAGGAACCACGTTCTTTTTTGCATATGAGCAGGCTCAGAGAAATAAAAAAATGCAAAGGCTCGACTTAAGCCGGATAAATAAAAGTATAAAAAGCTAATCATCTCTACACAGCATCAGGAGGTTGTCTTTAGGAAGGCCATATTGTTATAACAGGTTAAATGGGACCCCCGCCTTTGATAAATAAGGATTCTCTCCATGATAGCGGCTGTAAGACGTTAAGTATGCTTAGTGATATTCCATCAATAAATTAAGCAAGGCTCAGGGGTCAGAAGCTCTTGAAGACGTCCAGGTCCTTCTGAGGCACGGGGGGGTCTTTCTTCCACTCGTCCTCCGGGTACACGTCGAAGTTGGAGGTGTCGCCCTCGTGGGACACTTTGGGAACGATGGGAGGCTGCGGACACAAAGGAACAGTCTAGATCTGTCCAATTATGAGCGTTCTGCACGTTTTACTTGAATTGTTATATTTCTATAAATATTATAACTTTTATTATCTTCTTATTTTAGCTCTCACCTTCAGTTTCCTCACAGGAACTCCCTCCCAGTCCACGGTCTTAAACCAGCGGTGTTTCTTCACATCATCCGCTCCGTTCTGTAAATACAAATTAAATAGCTGTAGGAGAGTACTGTACGTATTTTATTTGATATAAATATGTATTTATTTCTTGCAATGTACACCATATTTATATTCCTTTGGGTTAAACTGAAACACCCTTACATTATGATATCAATCATGAAGTACATAAACAGAGAGATTGAATGTGAGCAGTACTTTTTAAATCATTAAAAACAAATATTTAGTGACTCCACAATCTGTCGATTCATCACTGAAAAATAATTAGGTTTTTTTAATGAGTCATTTAAATTCAAAGCTTTATTTAAAGTGTCTGATAATGACTATCAGAGCGGCGCCTGCGACAGTGTGGAGTTAATGCTCAGCAGAATATTGGCAGCTACAAATCAATACCATCTTGTGTGGGATTATGGGAGTTAATCACAGGCTTACACGAGTATTTGTTTTATTGAGAGCGGCTCCTCTCACTGGTGCTAATTGAAACGCTGCAGTACTCCAGTCTGATCACAGCGAGGGACGACACACACACACACACACACACACACACACACACACACACACACACACACACACACGATTAAGTAAGGTAAATGATCTACTTTCTGTTTTGATTGACAGTTAACAGTCTAGAAAATTGTGTATTTTTTAAATGTGGATAGCATTCTCTTATTATAATTGACTGTTTAATACAATTTCAACTATTTGTATGTTGGTTAAATATTCATTTTTACTTTATTTCTGTTTTGAAACAGATTTGTAATATCTAATATGAGATGTTCTAATATTAGGTCTAATACTCTTGGATTTTAATATTTAGAGATATGTCTTTATATATATTAAACATTATATATAAATCTTGTAATATTTGGGTTATTCTTTAGCCTGCTCACATTGATTAAAATGGACTATTGTATGAGACTGAATGAGTTAGCCAGGTGTAACTCATAAACCGTTGACTGACTGTATATGTAGAGGCTTGGTCTCAGAGTCTGAGGACAGATTTGAAAGTGACTGCACACACACATTCAGAATTCTGTAGTGAATAACGTGTGTGCTCTGAAACTGCCCCTCAGATTGGTTAAAGCTTAAAAAATGGGTGCCGAAGACGAGCTTTTATCAGAGACGGATGATAGTTGCTGGCTGTGGACAGTCTCTAATGTGAACCATGTGGAGCTGCAGTCCTGTGCTGCTCCTCACCCTGCTGATGTCACCCCCCCCTCCCCTCCTGTGAAATATGTGAGCTGCAGAGGAACTCACCTTCATGTTGCCCAGCCGTCTGGCTCGGTCAATGACCAGGAACTTCTTGATGAGGTCTCTGGGGGGGGGGGGGGGAAGAAAGAGCCAGTGAGTGTGGAGCTGAAAAGTCTCCCTCCTGTCTCCCTGACTAGGAATGACTCTCACCGTGTTCTCCCTGCTCTGTCAAAATGACGAATGCCTCCTCAGAACGGGCACGCGGGGGCAGGCTAAGTGACTTTTGGCCCTTTGACACTATTTTAATTGAAGAAAGTGAGCCGACAGGAACTTTCTGCGGGCTATAAACCCCGTGCAGGTGAAGCAGACGTTCATGTGAGGGGGACTGCAGATGATTCACAGGGGGCTTTAAAGTGGCAGTGTAGGCTTCCTGATGAAATGCGAGCGCTGCTGACGAGCGGAGACCAAGCTGTCGTACCTCACAGCTGACAGCCTCGTAAATACAGACGCATCAGAGATTCATCAGTTTTTGTCTAAATCCTTCCTGGTGATACGTCACGGAGAAATATATTAATCAGGTCTTGGGGAACTGTGCCTTTTCATTCTTCGAAATTATGAGAACAGCCATTAAAGCATGGAAACATGTCACAGTAGAGGCACACAATACACGAATGAACCTGGGGAGGAGGACAATAGGGCTTCTTAATAAGCGTTTTAGCATTAATGTGTTAAATGGGAGCGCATCTCTATTAAGATATGACTTAAGATACATCGTTCCTGCAAGATCAAATCTGTATTGTTTCATAGAATCATTGTAATTTAGCGTGGTGAAGAATATTTGTATCGTTTTTCACCATGGGAGCTCTCTTTGGGGCCTTATGAAGAAGTGTAGTCTACACCACGATGGGGTTTTAACTACGAGGAGAAATTCTTAGAGGATATCATCATTTTACTTAGAATTTCGTCACATCTTTGTACTCGGAATCCTTCTGAATACGGGCCAAGATCTTCTCCTCAGAGATGATCTAATAGGATGATCGAGTTGCTCTGTGTCTGATAAATAAAATAAAGTGATAGCAGGCTGCTTGTTCCACAGCTGCTTTAGCTTCACAGAGCATATATATATATTCATTTGAATGTAGAACAGTATTTCTCCTTTCCTGCAACATTTCATTACCTGCCTGGTTATCCTTAGAAGTACCTTCAAATACATGACGTTCTTTCTTGGTATAATTATACTCTAAAGACTGTATTATTCATCAAAGTGTAACAAAGCTCTTTAATATACAAGTGAGCTTCACACCCTTAGGCTCTTTCAAAGTGGGTGTGATGTCGTGCTCAACTAGTAGCTCTTAGCATTTATCATTAAAGCGCCTTCTGACACATTCTGCTCGGGCAAAAGTGAGTAAAAATAGAGCCATGGAGGACACTGAGGTGGTGCAGGGTGGAGCTCAACACAACATCTCCATAACAAGTCTTTAACCCTAAGCCTGCGGACACAGCGCTCTGCAGCAGCGTTTAAACCAACAACCTGTGGCAGGCATATAGTCTTCCTATAGAGGGTCAATGATGCACGAGCCCCCCTATTCTAATGATCTTGGGAGGTCTATACTGAAAGTTGATGGGGTCATTTCCCACTGAAATTAGTTCAGCTTTAGTTCTGTGTTTGTGTTGGTTTGGTTTTCCCGGTGCTTTGGTAAGAAAGGGTGGAAGTGCTGCAGCACCCCTTTAACATGGAGGTCAATGAGCTCTGCTGGGGGGGGTGACATGGGCCACTGTGTCAGGGCTAATGGAGTGCACACGCACGCTCACACACTCACACACGGCCAAAGTGCGCTGAGTCTGTAATCTGGCACATTCCTGCTCCTCCAGCTGCTGTAATGGCCGGTGAGGGGGGGGCGTTAGTGAGTCCAGCTCCACTGATTCACATCCACAGGGAATATGGACCCCTCTATCGTTTCATGTATTATGAATAAATAGTCATTGGAATGGGGGGGGGGTGCGTCAGAGGTCTTCTATAGAAACAGTCATTTCCTGAGTTGCAACATCCTCCCAGAGGCAGGAGGTGTGAATGAGCCCCAGTGGAGCTCCGGCTGCAGCTGAGGACACTGAGCTCAGGTTATGTTGTTTTTGCAGAGGGGGTTTGGAGGTTTCATATTCGAGTTAAAAACAACTTCTTTAGTAAAGTCATTTTTATCTCATTGAAATACTGTATGTGTCCTTCCTGGAAGAGAGATCCCTCATCTGCTCCTACTGATGTTTCTTTCACTACTTTTGTTATTCTCTACATGTTGCTGCATCGTCTGAGATAGTGGGCTGAATAAATAAAAAGGGAAATTATCTGGCAATAGCCAAAGGAACTAGAAGGTCATATTATGAATAAAACACAGCTCCAGGTTAGTCAAAAAAACACAGCTTCCTGCTTTAGGGCTGTCATTGTGTACACACCCACTGCTCTGTGGTCCATAAGCTCGACCTACTGATCAGTAAACTAAGCTGATAAATAGAGATATAGAGGGACACTTGAGAGCAGACTTGTTGATCACATAGTCAAAACACTCTACATCTAAATGGCCGACAGCTGGTTGATTTTAAACCAAGCCACTGTATTACTCTATAGCCACAAATAATCTAAGGCTAGTTGCTAACCAAGTGATGCTGCAACGTCCCAGCTATGAAAAATAGACCTTATGCCTTGGATAAATGTAAACCACACACACACGTTTGGCCAGGTGTCTTACTTGACATAGAATTCCAGATGGCGAGGGAATTCCAGTTTCCCGGCCAGGATCTTCTGGTAGATTCCGAACGGATTGTCATCAAAGAATGGCGGGTACCTGAGGAGAGAAACACATGTGAGCGGTAGCAAACATCGTGATGCAAGGAGCCGGTAAGACCTCAGTCCCCCCCCCCACCCTGAACACGTGGGCAGGTGAACATTTAGAGTGTTGGGGGGCAATGATAACTTTGTAGACTTAGCAGACAGAGCCGTCTTTGTTCGAGGCGCTGCACCCCGCTGAATGCTTTCCCAGCTCTCCTGTTCTTCCTCTGCTCCGGCCTGGACAAGTCATTACCCACAAATTACATAATGGTGCCGGCCGGGCCTCTGAACGCATTACGCACGGAGCAGACAGGCGCATAATCGCACCGGTTTGTCACACGCCGCCCGCCTGCACAGTGAGAAGCTCCAGAGGCAGGAGACTGTGGGCCGGGGCGTCTGGGAGCCGGCTGCTCACCACAGGCTCCACTCAGCGCTGTCAGAGGGGGGGAATGTGGGTCACTGTGGCAAAATGGGACCGTTTCCTGACTTATGTTATGAGTCAGCAGTGGATGACGTCACATGTAACCGATACATTAAACAATAACAGGGAAATCTACGTTTTGTAGTACTCTATAGGGTTTCCAGCTATATATTATGTGTACGATTGAAAACTAGCTGATTTTGTGCGGCGCAGTGGTCGTTAATTCAGTTTTCAACAAATACAACTCCATTAGAATCCTCACACAGTGGCTTCATTAGTGACCGAGGAAGCTCTCAAGGATTTTACATCTCCTGACTATTTAGTAATGTCCCTGAGTGCTCACAGAGAATGACCTTGGCATGACTTATATTCACACGAGAGCATTGTGAGAAAGATTCATGCACTGGAAAGAGGCTTAGTGCGCAGATCATATTAATTCTCCAAAGGGATTATCTTTTATTTGAATGTCCCCGTTTGTTTTCCATTGGAACCCAGCTCAGGAAGACATTTTATTTTTAGCCTGAATTCTACAATAAGTCGAGGAATAACAAAACGATCAGTGCATTGATTATTCCTCGCCACAGCTTTTGTATGAGGACAGAATAGAGTGATGCAGGGATGACGTATTCTTGTAAACAGACCAGGAAGTTAGAATCATAAGGGCTCCCGCAACAAACATCTATGGGATTTTTTTTTTAAATGTTTTATTGGATTTAGCAGAAAATACAATTCTGTGATTTCTGGAGGGTAAATGTAATCTCAAGAATCAGAAAGCTAACGTTAGGCTATAAAGGAACTATATCACGTCACAACCGCTAAGCTAAAGGCGGCTAATGTGCGGCATGATGTTTAGCAGACTCATTAAGCCACTTGTTAGCATCCCATGTTTTTAAGGCACATATAAGCTTCAGACGTTTACTGGTGGGTTATTTACTGACGTGAACATTTCAACAGACCTTATTTAAGGCGTATAACCAAAAACACATCGACAACGAGACTAGGGAACCAGAAGAGCTCACATGCTGACTCATTTCTGGGGTTTTAGGACTCATGCCTGCACCAGTCAACAGCCACTGCAGTCTCCTGGAACGTATCCAAGATTGAAACTTTTGTTCTTGTTTCTGTCTGAGGGTTGATTCGTGTTAACGGGTAGCACAGAGTTGAGAGGAAGGAGGCACAGAGTTGAGAGGAAGGAGGCACAGAGTTGAGAGGAAGGAGGCACAGAGTTGAGAGGAAGGAGGCACAGAGTTGAGAGGAAGGAGGCCCAGAGTTTAACCGTCTGTCCTGAGCCCGAATGCCTCCTGCTCCATGACAGTGTGACAGTGTTCCTCCATCTCTAATCATCAGGCTGCCGCTCCACTGAAATGAGCACTGACCGGGGAATAAGGAGAAGTGAGAGACATGAGGGGGGTCAATTTCATTTTGGAGCACTCAACCCAGAAAATTAAGTCTGGGAATAGAAATGCTTTGATTGAGTTGGGATTCATTTCGGTTAAAATGCTTTTTGACGCAACGTATTTCAATAATTAACATGAAAGCGACCCCGAGTGAACCCCGGGCTTTCCTTCGAACTGAAGCAGAGCTCGGCCTGGGGGAGGCACATTGTTAGTGAGAGGAGTCAGCCACGGGATGATTGGTTTCCTTTAAAAGCAGAAATCTGGCCCCGCAGGCAGGATTATGGAGGGAAGAGTCATTCTTTTTCTTCTACTCTCTCGTGGCTTCCTCCCCTCGGGGCCCTGACCCTTTACTGAATGTGTTCTCAACTTCCACTTCACCCCAGAGGAGGATGATGTACCACCGCTAACTTTTTCAGAAGCAGCCGCTACATTCTTGGATCAGGACCTCTGACGGACAGCTACACAATACCTCAGGATGAAGAGGACTCTTTGTCTGAGGGACGTTACTACAGAGACAGCGTCCTGCCTCTGATCAATGATGGGGGAAGGTCACATTCTTTACACACATCTAAAGCCACTGATACTACCGGGATATAAAGAAGCTTTCAGAAAGACTGGAGAAAGACGCTCCATGTTTGGAATGTAAAGCTGTACGGTGCTGCAGGAATGAGTCCTAAACCCCAACATGTGTTAGCATCTCAGCATCTTCTGAGTCCCCTCGTGTCTTCCCTCATTTGTTGTTCTCTGTTTTGTTCTGCAACAGAAAATACGTCTGCAAATACGCCACTGGTGAATGTCTTCAACTTATTTGTGAGTAATTGAGACTACTAAACGTCATCACTCCGAACATTAGCCACCAGAGCATGGTCCCCACGAGCTAATGGTGTTAGCCATGAGCCAGACGGATGAGCTAACGCCGTTAAGCTAGCTCAACACCTGGACAAATAAGTCCAAAGTATCTCCATGTAGAGAGAATAGTTTTTCCCCCTAATGTCAATTTGGTGAAAGGAAGATTGAGTTAGTGCTCTGAACTGTGTCAGAGACAGACACATTTTGAGGGAAAATGGAGCACTTGCATTTTTAATCTTGAAGGAAAATCAATGTCATTGTTCTTCATCTACATCAATGATTCCCATTCTCTGCAGTATCCAATAAGCACAGACTGAATACAGTCCCCACACTGAGACAATGGCAGATGTACAATTATTGAAATAATGTCTCTCTGTTCTGTCACCCACTTTCTGTTGCAGGGTTGTCATGGTGGATTGCATCACTGGTGTACAGGTGATTGTGTCCACAAAGTGTGTCTATGCAATCGTCTTGAGAGATGATCATCAAGCTCGAAGCGTTGAGTGTCTCAGTGCTTTCTGACCTGTGTGTGTTACTCTCTACACAAACCAACACTTTTCTAAAGCACAGAAACTAACTTCTAAAGTTTCTCTATTGGAGTTACTGTTGCTCCGATGGAGGAGAGCGCCCCCAAGTGTCCGTGTGGCGTGTGAGTGTGAGTGTGAGTGTGAGTGTGTGTGTGTGTGTGTGTGTGCGCGTACAGTGCAGCACTCACCCAGCCAGCATCTCAAAGATGAGAATGCCCAGAGCCCACCAGTCCACCGCCCGGCCGTGACCTTTGCTCTGGATGACCTCAGGAGCCAGGTACTCCGGAGTCCCACACAGAGTCCAGGTCCTGAACACACACAGAAGGGTACATGAGCTTTGTAGAAGAATAATTGAAGTTAATAAATGAATTAGCACAAACCAAACATTCTGAAGGGACAGCTTCTCCAATTCAATTAGGATAACTGTCTTCATTGTAATGATCTTTTAATTCAATTCAAAACCTTTATTTATTCAGGTGAAAACCCATTGAGATCATTGACCTCTTTTTCAATGGCGACCTGCTGCAAGTAGGTTCCAACATGAATACAAACATGACAGAAAAACAAAGAGGACATCATATGGCATATTTACATTGACTACAGTTTGTATAGCTAGTAGCATTTACAGACACCAACAGTTTCCGATTGGATAACGTCTAACCTTGCTTTAAAAACATGTAATGGAACCAAACTGCTCAACTTCCATTCCTTTTGCAGACTGTTCCAAATTAGCGGAGCTGCCCATCTAAAAGCTGTATTCCCTAAGACAGTCCTAGCAGTTGGCACATTTAATACAACCACAGCATTCGATCTCAGGCAGTAGCCATTTACAATACGCCGTGAGATCAGGGAGCAGATGTAGGATGGAAGTTTCCCTAACATTGCTTTGTAAATAAAAAGATACCAGTGATTGAGTCGCCGTACAGTTAGTGAAAGCAAACCTGCCCTTGTATACAGGGTACAATGATGGGTTAATGCTTTACAGTTTGTCACAAATCTCAGTGCACTGTGAGAGGCGGCATCTAACTTGATCAGGTAATTGGCAGGTGCATTCATATAAAACAGATCACCATAGTCCAGCACAGGTAAAAAGGTCACAGTGACTAGCCTTTTCCTGGCCTCAAGTGAGAAACAGGACTTGTTCCTGTAAAAGAAACCTAGCCTAACCCTCAGTTTTTTTAGCAGGTTATTGACGTGCAGTTTAAAAGAGAGACAGTCATCAGGCCAGATACAAAGGTATTTGTAACAGGTTACCACTTCAAGTTTTTTCCCTTGCGTAGTTACAATATCTAAAACAGGCTCTGGTGTCTTTTTAGCTTTTGAAAAGAGCATTACCTTGGTTTTATCCACATTTAAAAGAAGCTTTAGTTCAGAGAGCTGAGTCTGAACAGTGTTAAAAACAACCTGTAATTTAACAACCGCCTCCTTAATGGAGGTACCTGCACAATACATCACGGTATCATCCGCATACAAATGTAAAGTAGCTTCATCCACATTATCACCTAAGCTGTTGATATATATGGAGAATAAAAGTGGACCTAAAACAGAACCTTGTGGTACACCATTAGAAATGTTTAACCACTAAGAAGACAGCCCATCAAAATGAACACATTGGGACCTTTCAGAGAGGTAGTTCACAAACCAAGAATTTGGTCTGGTGCCATTTTAGTTTTTCTTAATGATTCGTTTCATTTTTTCACTTCAGACAAGGACAACAAGGATTTCACAGTTGAGAAAACCATCAAATGTTTGAAATATCTATCTATCTATCTATCTATCTATCTATCTATCTACCTGTCTATGTATCTATCTATCTACCTGTCTATCTATCCGATCACCAGCCCCTGCAGTCTCCAAGTTGAGTGTCCTTGGGGAAAAGTGCTTCACAACAAATTGGTTCTGTAGGCATGTCAATGGTATTAGGCATATATACTTAATTATCTTTGGATAAAAAACCATGTAATGGTAATTGATAGCCTCAGTGTGTAAATAGAGATGGTCATGGGGAAGAGAGCACTGCGGGTAAAGTGATCTGCACAGGCCACCTGATCCATCATCTCTATATTACTATAAGTGTATGACCCATGTGTGTGTGGATCCAGAATAAAGTCAGAATGGAAGCAAGGACAATAAGTGAAGGCTGTGTGTGAGCAATAAGAGGAGCTCTGCAGCAGACTGTGTGTGTGTGTGTGTGTGTGTGTGTGTGTGTGTGTGTGTGTGTGTGTGGCAGTGTTCCCTGACAGCCCCTCGTCCTCTGATGAAGAGCACTCGGCCCGGCGCCAGCCTTTCATCGTCTGTCACCGATATCACCTGCCTAATGACCTCTTTGGGCCAGTTGCCACGGCGACGTTAATTTGTATGGAAATGATGTTGGTCCTGGAGGAGGGCTGGGGAGGCTGGTGATGTCAGGGGATTAAAGCGAGGGGGTGTGTGATGGCGTCTGCCAGCAGGGGGCAGTGTGGCAGCATCACCTCCTCAACATGGAGGGAAAGGACAGTCTTCCTGTTTATTCGACGCTGCTGCCCTCCATTTCTAGAAGTGGGTCACTCGCCCATCAAAGGTTTCTACTCCCCATCTGCTCTCGCAAAATGTAATCGTACTCCATGATGTTTACATGTCAGCAGGGTCAACAAATATAATGCGTCTCCTCTACTGTACATCCTTTCAATTGTCACAGGTCAACAGGAGGCCTTTCTAAATCAGACTAAATGAAATCATTCGGGGGTCCTTCAGAAGCACTGCCTTGGTTTCTTGGAGTGAGGAGGATCCCCCTTTTATCTCACAAGAAAATATGAGCATTCTAAGAACACACAGGACATTAGCCTCATTCCTCTACTATCCAACACTTGATTTCCCAACAGAGGTTTAGAACTAATTACAAAATGGCCCAACCCCATTAAGTACAAAGAGGAAAAAGGAGGGAAACTGGTCCAGAAACGTGTTGGATGACGTTCCTTTTCTGAATGTTCTCGGTAAAATATCTCACCTACTCCTCCTCCTCGTTGCGGTCTCCAATCCATCAATTGTACAAATCAGCATAAAAACAGACGCTGCAACAGAAGGCTTTGAGACTAGGCAACAATCCAAGAAAGACTGTAGGCTAACTTACACATGAGATCTCACGTCATGGATGTTTCTATTATTTTTCAGACCTCTTCATCAACTTGATTCCTTTCCATTAAAAAAAGGTTCAAATCTTTAAAGAATTAAGAAAGTCTCGGACGTCTTAACCGATGCATGACCTCCAGACAACACCGAGTCTTAGAAGGGATTTCCAGCAAATCCTCACTGTACAGCTGAATGGAGGAGTAGCTAGCTCAGCAGAGGGACTGTACAGTAGAGCTTAGACTCTCACTGCTTTGTATTTCACTTCCTACTGACAGTCAATGCAGCATCAAACACCGTGAGCTGAGAGCAGGAGCTACACAAACTGCAGGGGGGGAAGAAGGAACGGTTGGATCAGGAAAAGATGCCAGTATTAAATTCACTGTAACGCAGCAGCACATCCACATAAGAGTGCGTGTCTATGCCTGTGCACTGGGATGACTATCAGTTAATTCTGTACGCTTGCCAGATTAGACATTCACCTTATTTATTGATAAGTAAACAGAATCATGAAGTTTTTACGTAAGCTTATAAGAAATCTTCTCTCTGCTTTTATCTGAGAACCAGTGACTCATACCTTTATTTGAATTGTTCAACCCCTCAGTTCAAAATCATAAAACAGTAAACACTGAATCAAAACGGCTGCTAATTAACTTTCTGTACATCAACGTCAACAAATATACTAAGAGCTGAGGTCAGATCACAACCCACGAACAATTACTCATGAGTAGATGCTTAAAAAAAGACTTCCTAGTTGCTGCTACATATCCTATATAAATACATTGTTGTAGTTATTGGCTCCTAAAAATTCAGATTATACACAATATCTTTTGAATCACTTGAAGATCTTGACTATTTATTACCAGTTTTTATGTCCCTTAATGTATATATCTTAGCTTGCTTATATCCTTATCCTCTCAATGTTAACGTATTGGTCTAAATGGATGCTAATGTTGTTTCTTTCACCTGTCAGAGAGCTTCTTAGCGAATCCGAAGTCTGTGAGGCGGATGTGTCCTTCGCTGTCCAGCAGGATGTTCTCGGGCTTCAGGTCCCGGTACACGATCTCTTTGGAGTGGAGGTACTCGATGGCGCACACGATCTCGGCGCTGTAGAAGAGTCCCGTGGCGTTGCTGAAGCGTCCGCGGCTGCGCAGGAAGCTGAACAGCTCCCCGCCAGGCACGAAGTCCATCAGCATGTACAGGAAGCGCTCGTCGTGGTGGGTCCAGAAGCTGAGGAGGAACAATGAGGTCTCTTTAATAAAACACTTATTCTTTAGTGGTGACTTCTGCAGGGTAAAACTGTTAAAGTAGTCCCTCACGAGCGCAGGAAATCCGATAAAATAAGCGGCGGCATCCGTCTCACACTCTGCTATCCCCCAGTGGGCTCTGGAGCGGTGTGCTACAACTATCTCAGATGGAGGGGCACTTGAGAGGAATAAAACAAGAGAGCAGTGTCACTGATGAAGACGGAGAGTGCTCCAGTGTTTTCCATAAGTGCTGGCTGCTGGCCACAGAGACGATTACAGAGTCTTTGCTACGCGGATATTTCATCTCCACACTTCCTTTGCTTCTGCTGCTTTCTGAAGCCTCGACTATGTGCTGTGTTCCAACACTTATCTGATTAATCCCTGTATTGTGGTCTGTATATGTTACTGGGATCCAGATACACAACAGATAAGTGACTAGCTGATGAATAAATAATGGTAGAACAGAATGTCAAAGATATGGTGGACGTCATGGAGTCTGATTAACAGAAAAGACTCACAGGCGGATGAGGAAGGGGTGGTTGACCTCCGTCAGCACCTCCTTCTCGTTGTGGACGTGCTGCTCCTGCTTCAGCCGGATCACGTCGGGGATCTTCATCTGCTTCAGGGCGAAGAAAGCCCGGCTCTGCTTGTCCTTCACAAGGAACACTCGGCCAAAAGTCCCGGTGCCTGAGGAGGGGGAGACAAGGAGACAAGGGG